TCCCGGCGGGGGCCTGTGCCCCGCCGCCCTGCGGAGCACCAGGGGCTGCTGCCAGGCCGGGTGCGGGTCCCCCACCCGGGTTTGGCCCTGCTGCACCCCTGTCCTCAGGGATGCCCCCTCCCTGCAGGGCAGCTCCGGCCACCGCCAGCCCCAGGGTGCCCGAGGGGACAGGGAGGTTTTGCCCCCTTTCTGTCCACCCTTTGAAGCTTGGGTGACGCTTGGCCCCAGCTCCCTTAAAGCAGGGGTGTGGGAGCACCAGTCCGGGCAGGGCACAGCCGAGCCGGGTGCTGCTGGTGGACACCGGGCTGGCAGACCGCTGCGAGCAGTGGGGATGCTACGTACCCCCTCCAGCTCCTCTCCCAGGGCTGAGCCAGGGTGCACCCGGGCAGAACCCCGTGTAGCCGGTGGCACCAGCTGCTTGGCACTGAGCAGGAGGGGGCTCGGCCACCCACCTCCCGTCATGGCTCCATCTCGCCTCGGTCCCTCGTGGCCACGTAAAACCGGGGGCACCCGCCTCCACCAGACCCTTCCTCCAAGCATTGGCACTGCTGTGCACCATGAGCTGGGGTCTGCCAGTGTGCATCGAGCCGGGGCCGAGCTGGCAGCCCCCTCCTCAGCCGATGCAGCTGCACTCGGCCGCCGAGAGCTTCTCCACCGTCTGCCACGTGTTCTGCACGTCCATGAAGGAGACGGCCTCGTAGCGGGTGGGCCGGCAGCAGGGGTGGCTGAGGACCCGCTCCTGCGGCCCCGGGGAGATGAGCTGCTGCCGCAGCAGGCTGCCCAGCGTCAGGTCATAGTTGCTGCGCGCCCGGTGGCAGGACCCGCTGCAGTACTTGAAGAGCACAATCTCGTCCGAGTTGAAGCCCAGGCCCAGGTCGCGCACCTTCACCATCAGGTTGCGGATGTGGCAGTTGCGCCCACGGGCCCCCCGTGGGGGTTTCCGCGCCCCCTTCTTGGCTTTGCTGGTGCCTGGCGGTGAGCGCTCGGCACGCAGCAACAGGTCCTCTGCCAGCTCCGCGGCACCCGGGCCACCCGTCGTTGCATTGTCCCCTGCATGTGGAGGGGATGGCACCGTCAGACCCCATCCCACACCTGCCGCCCTCCTGGGGCCCACCGAGCCTGCCTGTCCCACTCCGTGACCTGCAGACCCCTCCTGACCACCCACCATGGCACTGGTGGGGTGCCCACGGGGCGGTGGGGTGGCTGGGCACCTGGCCAAGCTGCTTCTCATCCCCACGGCTCTGCCACCATCCCCAGCATGAAGCACAGGGCTCCATGCTTTCAGCCCCCCCTGCCCAGCCCCGATGTGCAGAGGCAGCCCCCATGGGCTGGGGCTCCCCTCAGCAGCTCCCAACCCACCCAATGCCCCACGCTCAGGGCCACTGTGCCCAGGCTGGGGGTCCTGCCCCAACACATACCGTACAGCTGGCTCCAGGCAGCGGTGAGCGGTACCTCCACGCCGTCCTCCACAGCCGGGCTGGCAGTGGCCATGCCCCGCGGCGTGGGGGCCGCATCCAGCGTCTCGTTGCAGTGTGGGGTTCGCAGGGTGCCCGTGGCCAGCCCGGCCAGCAGCGAGAGGATGGCGAGGAGCCCCCACAGCATCCCCTCCTGCGACAAAGCACAGCACAGCAGGGTGAACCCCGGCCAGGGTCCCCACACCAGGGATGAGGCTCCATGAGCTGGGGATGGGGACGGGGATGCGTGGTCCCGGCCATTGCGGCCAGCCAGGCCCAGGCTCACCTTGGGCTGCAGGTGTGTGGTGAGTCCTGTAGGTCTCGGCTCTGGTGGCCCCGCTTGCTGCTCCATGCTGGCTGCAAGTGCAAAGGTGGGGGGTCAGCGCCCATGCAGAAGGGATGGGGTGGACATCGAGCTGGCTGGCTGGGAGCCGGCACATCTCTCCCCTGCTCCTGCCAAGCATGCCATTCCCTCCCATTGCCCCCCTGCAGCCCCTCCTGCACGCCATGCGTGCCCCCCCCAGTCCCCTCCCCACACAGGCAGGCACCCTCACCACCCTGTGCACCCCTTCCTGGAGATCTGGCAGCTGGGGCGGCCCAGCCTTCGCCCAGCACCTCTCCTCAGGGGGATGCAGCTGCCTCCTCGCACGAGCGGCCTGGGATGCCAGGCTGGGCTGTGAGGCAGCGGCTGGGGCTGGGAGCGCCACAGGGGGGGCCCTTTCCCATGGCCCTTCCCTGGGAATGTTTTTCTTGCTCGCGGTGGGAGCCTGACCTTGGAAACTCCAAATCCATTAGCACAGGGTCCCTGGGTGCAGCCACCCCCTGGCCCCGTGCTGGCTCCCCTGCCCGCTGGCTGCAGGGAGCTGGGACGCGCGGCCCCAGAGCAGCCCGGGTGAGTGGGGCCACGAGGGGCAGGATGGGCAGGCGGGTCCCGCGGGGACATGGCGGGGCATGGGGCACCACACTGGGCTCGCGCAGTCATTCACCCCAACACCACTGCCCAGCACCCGCTGCCCCAGCACACACAGGGGAATTCGGTCCCTGCCGTGCGTAAGTCCCAGCGGAACAGCAAGCACAGTCTCAGGGGAGCGATGTCCCATGGGAGGTGCAGGGGCAACTCCCAGTCTGCAGCCACATGTTGCACCTCCTTCCCCAGCTCCCCCGGGGTGCGGGGAGGCCCCTGTCCCCCAGTGTCCCAAGCCAGGATCCCCCAGAGGTGGCTCCCAAGGGGGCTTTAACCCTCCTTGGCCCATCTGCTCCATCCCCTGTCTCTTGGGACGGGACTGTCCCCTTGGAGCTCGGTGGCATCCTGCAGCGGGGAGTTCCCCTGTCCTCTCCACGGCTTTGCCCCAGCATGTCTCAGGTGCTTCCATGGCAAAACTGGGATGGGACGTGCTGAAGAGAGTGCTCCTGGCCAAAAAATGAAGGGACACAGCTGGGCACCACTGGGACAAGGAGACAAAATCAGTTCCCCCGGTCCTCCCAGCACCTCAGGAGATGGTCCCCAAGTCCTGATTGCCACATTTCATGCCACCCTGCACTGGCCATGCCATGGCAAGGGGCCGTGATGGGCACTGCCAGGCCCACATGCCTCCTCTGGGGGCCGTGCATGGTCAGGATGCACCCCCGGTGCAGGCAGGGCTGGCACCAGCCCCCCGGCCCCGCCAGCTGCTGCAGCTGGGCCAAGCACAGCCCACGCAGCGCGTCGCTCCCGTGGTGGCCCGTGGCCCCGCGCCAGCCACTGCCGCTAGGTCATGGTTTTCCCAGGCCAGCACCCCCCGAGGGGCCAGGCGAGGGTCCCTGCACCCCGCTGGGAGGGGACGGGCTCTCCCCGGTCCCCACTTCCCGCGGTCGGCAGCCCCACCGCGGCCCCTCGGCCCCAGCATCCCGGCGGGACAGGACGGGACGGGACGGGACGGGACAGGATGGGATGGGATGGGATGGGACGGGATGGGATGGGATGGGATGGGATGGGATGGGATGGGATGGGATG